TGCCACCGGAAACGGGAATGGGGCCTGTTTACACAGTTGTAGTCTTTTAGCTTCACTCTGTGTACTCCGACGTCGAGGTGCTAACGTCTCTGTTAAACACTTTAAAAAACTCTGAAAATGGAATACGAAAGGTGGATTCTTGAGGAGGACATATTGGACTTTGAGTTTGACGGTAGAGGATACCGTTGCCAACTAGTGGTCAATCAAAGCAAGTAGGAAAAAAAAAAAAAAAACTATATAACTCCTATATATCTCAAAATATCCAGCATTTAGTTCGACAATCTTATTTTTTATTGGACTGCTTTATTAAACTAAGAGAAACCTGGACTTACAAATTCGAATCTGTTAGGTCGATCTTGGAGGTTCTGCCGAGTTTCTTTCTTTAAAAATAACCTCAAGGGAGATGTTTTCATCTTAAATGCAAAAAAAATGTTCCATTGATTTGCTAGGATGACTATAAAATGACTACCAAGAGCAGTGTTTTTGACAATATGATTTTTTATTATCTGTTCACAAGTCTGTGATTCATTAGACACAATATCATCTACACATACACTACCGTTCAAAAGTTTGGGGTCACATTGAAATCTCCTTATTTTTGAAGGAAAACACTGCACTTTTCAATAAAGATAATTTTAAACTAGTCTTAGCTTTAAAGACATACACTCAATACATTGCTAATGTGGTAATTGACTATTTTAGCTGCAAATGTCTGGTTTTTGGTGCAATATCTACATAGGTGTTTAGCGGCCCATTTCCAGCAGCTATCACTCCAGTGTTCTAATGGTACAATGTGTTTGCTCATTGGGCTCGGAAGGCTAATTGATGATTAGAAAACCCTTGTGCAATCATGTTCACACATCTTGAACCCGTTTAGCTCGTTACAGAAGCTACAAAACTGACCTTCCTTTGATCAGATTGAGTTTCTGGAGCATCACATTTGTGGGGTCAAATAAACGCTTAAATGGCCAGAAAAGAGAACTTTCATCTGAAACGCGACAGTCTATTTTTGTTCTTAGATGATTTGTCTATTTTAAATTCTGAGTTCTTACAGTCGTTTCAAAAAGGAATTCTTATGTTTCATATTATTATTCATATAATATGAATAATAAATCACCTATTCACTGCCTTGCATGTGCATCGGTGTTTTCATTCAGCATCAATTTAATTAGATTGTTTATCAGTTAATCAATGTGATTGATGTATTGTATTGTAACACCCCTCTCATAAACACCCTACAGCCTGTAACAAACACCCTGACCCACTGAATCACCTCTACTCACAGTTAACTATTTATAGTATTGTTACAGTATAGATGTTGCATTTTATCGATATATGTGGACAGACGGAAGGACGATGGACAGACAGGCGGATGCATGGTTACTACCTTTTCCCTCTGGTTTAGTTTTTTGTTTTAATGTGCTTTTTTCACTTTATTCATTTCATCCATGATCTCTTTCAGTTGCAGTTTTTCCATCATCTCTGCATCAATAGCTGGCTCCCCGCAGATGGGGAACAGTAACATGCAGCGCAGTGTAGGCCCAAAGGTTTAGGCCTACAACGAGGCTTGATGTGATGAAAGGCTTGAGAAAATTAAGGATTTATGGTTCTCTGCTTCTCAATCATGATTCCCTTTTCCACAGTACTCTTCAACCAGAAACAAAAACACTCTTATGATCACCAAGACACAGCTTCATAAATGCCTTATCAGCATGGGTAATTTATTCCCCAGAGGCTCAAACTGACATCAATAAGAAACCAAAAAAAAATCTAAATTTGTAAAGATTGCATCCATTGGTGTATTGAATGTTTTTTTTGGACGTTTAATGGTGTGGTGAAAAAACATTAGACTTTCACTGATATCAATATACCAGATATGTATCTATTTTTATTTATTTCAGAAAATAAGGCTGGATACTAAAACATCTCATCTTTTACCTACAAGCTAATGCCTCAGTTGGATAAACTGCCAAGATACTGATACAACATCCTGTAATGTTGTAGCATCTGCTGAAAAACAGCCACAAATTAATCATTTCTTTATCAATAAAAACTGAAGTTAATAAACCTAGAGATGTAAAAATAAAATCATAGGATTTGGATAAGAATTATCTGATAACTGACCAATAAAAATTCAATCTGCATTTAACCTATCAGAGTGACCATTGTGGGGCTAAGGGTATTGGGCAGGAAACCCAGATGACATGTTGTGAAATATGACCTTCAACCCTTCTCAGAGTGCAGCCATTTGACTCTTTGAGATATTGTCTGAGGTTTTTAGATCATCTAAATTATGTAATGGTCCTTAATGCTATATAGATTTAATGGGCTGAGAAAATTATCTTTATTTACATAGAAGATTCCTACCTGACTGCAGAGAAAGACTATTCCCTATAAAACATAAAAACTAATTCATAAAAGAGCACGGATTCTATATTAGTTCTCTTTTTAAGAATTTTGCTGTGAAGAGTTAATTGTTGCATTTTTGGTTTCAATTTTTCTTTAATATGCTAATCCTAAAATGTCAAATTAGGGCATTCTACACTGTGGAATCACTGCTGCCACCCTCTACGGAGAACTGATTGTTCCAGGGGTGGTGAATTACATCCACATGGATGTGCTGGTGAAGATTCTCAGTCATCCAGGTAAAAGTCACTCCAAAAAAGTAAAAAATAAAAAAAAAATCACTGGACTTTGTTTTCCAGTTTGAAGATGTTTCGCTTCCCATCCAGGAAGCTTTTTCAATTCAAAATGTCAGAAATGTCATTTGAAATTAAAAAAGCTTCCTGAATGGGAAGTGAAACGTCCTCAAACTTGGAAACAAAGTCCAGTGGATTGTTTTTAACTTTTTTGGAATCCACGTAGATGTAACAAATCACCTGGTAGGGAGGGCTACAAAGGTGGCCAATGATTGGCTATGGGGTTCATGGCCCCCATGAGCCCACATCCAGATCTGCCCTTGGCAGGGCTTAAAGGGCTTGGAGTAGAGAGAGGGGGATGACATGGGGCAAAAGTCACCAGGCTGGGACTCGGACATGCGACCACTGTACGAAGGACCAGGCCTCGGTACATGGATAACTCGATTAACCCGGTCACCACCGCTGCACCCATTTGGGCATCATTTTTAAACGTTTTTCTTTGGTTAGTGTAATGCAAAGTTACAGGACATAGATTAATACATATAATAGGCAAAATGGAGCTTTATTTTCAGTAATCTGAATAAATTTGTAATGTTTAAAGTAGCAAACTATTGACTAAGAGTGTAATATTCATTGTGTGAAATTCTTGAACAAAAGCACAATGGGCGTTAT